CGGCGATATCGTCGTATGGGAATTGCCGCGCATGATTCTCGCGCGGCGAACACACCGTAGCGCGATGACATAAAGTTTGCCATATGAAAATGTTATCGTCATCTCGCTCATCTCACGTTGAAATTGCGTTTTGCGGGGCATTTTTGTATAATAATACAATGTTTCGCGGTATTTTACATTTGAAATTCATTCCCTCGACACTCTGCATTTTTATCAGGCGTTAAGAATAAATTAACGAATAAATTAACCGAATTAAGCTTTCTCGCATAAAACTAATTTCCTCTCGAGCGTTAGAAAATTGCAGCATCTCGAATTTTGTTGCATGTAATGGCTCGCGTAAGTTGTTTAATTATCCGAGAACAAGTGTATACGATTTTTTAATTGCACATGACGCGGATTGACGTTGCAAGTAGCGAAAACCGCGAAGAAAATTATGACGTTTTTATTCCTCAATGAAAAAACGGAACTTGCTGTAAAGCAGATTATCGCGATACGTCACAATGTCGCACATTATGTGCACATTTACGCACGCTACGAGTTTCGGGCTTGTAATTTCAGCTCTTATATCAGACAACACGATGAGCTTGCGCTTACCCGCGTAAAGCCGCATTCCTGAATATCATAAATAAATCTGTCGCGTACTTTGCATATATCTTTTTTCCAATAATCTCTCTCACTCACACATTTCTGATGTTCACCAAAAAGGTATGTATGAAAATCTGAAACAATGAGATGCAGAAGACAAATCTTTAAAATTAGGAAACCTATTGGAATATTAAGGATGAAAAAATAATTTTCAAAGAGAGATCCTTGTTATTTATTCGGATGATACCAAATGAAATCAACAAACGATCTATATCCATGATTAATGTGACTAAGGCTAATATAATTAGCATTATTGATTATTAAGCAGCAATTGGCAAATGTTCGTGTATCGATTCCATAATATCCGGGTGTCAGATAATAACCGATACTAGCATTACAGGCAATAATACACTTGTGTCAATCTAATTATTGCAATATCAATCCAGATTGCCGAACATATTCAAAACAAATCGATAACCGAAGAGTCAAGGAATTTTAATTAAATAGAATCTCTATTCCATATATTCTCCGATATTATCAGTTTAACTCAATTTTGCTATTGAAACTTCGCGCTTTGCCGCGGCTATCCAAGTCACACAACGCATAATTATAAAATCACAAATTCGCGTCATTTGGGGGACACACCAACCGCTCGTAATTTGGTCATTGTTCTCGATACGGGCATCCGGTGGACCGCACATTCCCCCGATATCGTAAATATCACGCGTGTCGGCCGATATTTACGTCGGCGTGGCTCGTATATTCCGGATATACCTTCGACCGCGGGGATTTCCGCGCGTTACGGAGAATGCGGGAGAGGGGGAGGGAAGGGGAGGAGTATCGCGCCGGCAAGAGGAATGATGTTCGATGCGAGAGGCAAAAAAGAGCGCGGGATAAATCGCGGCGATTTAACCGGACCGTCACGATGCGCGTGACGTTTGACGGCGACACACTTCCGGCTACGCGCGTAAAACGTTATACGAAGTATCTCTCGCGCGTTAACTCTGTATATCTTATGGATAAGAGAAACGAACGAAAACGGCTGCGAAAGTGCTCCCTTTTGAAGAACGCTTCTTGGAGGAAATTAAAGACAGTCTTATCTTAGAGGAGTTATCCTAAGGGAGTTTAAGTACTCTATCTCCTCCCGTCCCCCGCCTCTCCGCTCCCCTCTTCCCGTAATCCTTTTAACTCTTTTTCCTACAGCGAGCGTGAGGCGGAGAACGACAGAGTGATTTTTAAACTGTTCCTTATCTCTCGAGGTGCCCACGGTCTCAAATTAAAATTCATCCGAGAACTCATCGTCTCGAATAGGCAGGAGGGAGAGAGAGGGTGGGGGGAGGGGGACGTTACTCATCGATAATAGGAGTTGCTTATTTTTCGCTCGTGGCGCTAATTAACGGACACCCTATATATACGCGATGCCTACACGCATCGGTGCGTGTAGTTATCGGGGCCGATATCCGTTATTCATTTTCTCTCTCTTTCTCTCTCTCTCTCTCGTATCAGCTGTCGTGGGCGGCAACGATATCCGAGCAGTCATCAAAGCGACTTTGCGCCCGCGGTGAAACCGGTGCGGGCACACGATATGAAATTGAATGAAATTCGCACTGTCCGCGTGGGCTGATCCTCGCGAACGGATGAAGGACGATCCCTCCTTTCCATTACTATGTTTCCCCCGATGGTGATCGGTGGTACCGATTATCCTAGAGATTTTCGAAGATGCGACCGACAACCGAGACGCGGCGGATATAATCAGTCTTCGATTTCTTTCGAGAAACTCGAGAGAGAGAGAGAAAGAGAGAGAGAGAGAGAGAGAGATCAGCGTCTCGCTTTATCAATTTCTAAAGAACTCATTTCGTCACGTTAGAAAATTCATTTCTGCGAGGTGGGAGGGAAGGGGTGAGGGAGGTAAAGGAAGTAAGATTCGAACATGGGGAAAGTCAATTCCCCATGTCAGCGACGATAAAAATTTTTATATCGGGGCGCGCCGAGGGAAAAATCTTATTAGCGAATCATCGAAAAGTTAATAAGTCACGCGTAAATCGTAAGATGTCGAGACGTCTCGAACGATTCTCGACGTTTCGCGACGTGTTCGTGAAATTAAATCGACGATTTCTCGCTTCTCGTGTGTTGCAGCTGTCCGGCCTGGTGGTGGGTGGCATCGGTATCTGGACGGTGGCGGCGAAGCACAGCTACGTATCCCTGATGTCCACCTCGACGTATCCCACTCTGGCCTACGCCTTGATCGTCGCAGGTGTCCTGGCTGTCATCGGGAGCTGGCTCGGATGCGGTGGCGTAACTTCTGAAAATCGATGCGTCCTCCTCGTGGTGAGTTCTCCGCTCCCATATATATCAGCGTTTGCCGAAATCGAAATAATTCCTACGGCAAATATTACAGTCTTATCGGACAGTGCGAGGTACGTCGATGGATAGAAAATAATCGCTCGGTTATTACGTATCATTAATTAAACTCGTGTAATTGATCGAGTTAATTCATTCCATTTCATTATTACGTACGGCTATATTACATGCATTATACGCGGGATTGATTATGATTATTCATTAATCATCGCCATGTCCAAATTACATTAATCGACTTCCAGAAACCGACGTTGAACACTCTGTGTGTGTGTGTGTGTGTGTGTGTGTGTGTGTGTGTGTGTGTGTGTGTGTGTGTGTGTGTG